AAAACCTAAGTAAGAATGATTTATATGATGGTAAACAGATATCAAATCAACTTGAATGGACATCTTCCCTGAATGATTGAAAAGGTGATCTTACGATCTTCAAATTTAGTTTTCTCGTGTAATACTACTTCATTTAATTTTCGTAAGATCTGATATAACTCTTTTCCTGTCGGATTAATTAAACGACACTGTAAATAGATTCATTACCACGGGGAGAAATGATCCTGTAGTTGAAACCTCATGGTGTTTAGGTTATAAGAGAAAAGAAAACACGCCAAATTGTTACACGGTAGTTTATTCACATTCACAAGTATGTAAATTCTGACAGTGTAAATAATAATCATTGAAGTCACAATGATAACTCATAAAGTCACAAAGTCAAATATTTAAGACCAGCGTAAAAAATAAAGTTATAGATACAGCAAATAAGAACATGGATTATAGGAGGAGGGATGGAACTTAGCAGAAGCAACAGTTTACAAACTGTCAACAAATTATTCAAAATGTCCTTTATTCCCGAAATCCAATTGAGAGAAGGACTTCGTCAATATCCCTTGGAAATAAGCTGACTGGTTGACGCTGATGTTCGATATTTTCAACCCTGTATTGCTGTAGCTCTTTTTCACATCTTCTCATTTCCTTCTTTACTGTTTCTGCTGCTAAGTGGTCGATATTCCAGCAATGGTGCCGCTGATGTTTGAAATTGTTAAACTCCTCTCTGCAGTGCTGCAACTCCTTTTTCAATTCATCTACTTCTTTATGTTTTTCCTCGTCTTTCTGACGCCGTATTTTGCTTTCCTGAAGTTTCATTTCTACTGCCTTAAACATCTCATTGGTGTAGCAGAAGTCTTGATGGCTTTCTACAAGTTTATTGATCATTTCCATCATATTCCTAGCATCGTTGTCACTGGAATCGTTTTTCAGACAATTATTGATTACAATACAACGTTTCTTGCATTTCCCTAGTATTTCCTCTAGTGAAGGTGGTATCGTCTTTAAATACTCCTCAAAGGACGTGTCTTGTTCTTCCAGCAAGTCTCTTCCGGTGAAGACCAAGATCGTATGTTTGAACATATCTTCTCCAAAAACTTCAGCAAAATGTTTGACAGTGGCGTTTTCCGCTTGAGTAAACCTCCCTGCATAAATGGTCAGAAGGAATACGTGAGGTCCAGGCAAGGACAGACTGATGCACTTGGATATTTCTTCCAGGCTTTGCTTGTTTGGTACCTTTGTATCAAACACTCCCGGAGTATCGATTACCAGGATCTGCTGTCCAAACCGGAAAGTTCTAGCTTCCTGACATTTCTCCGTCACGGATGAAGCTCCATAGCAAGATTTGAAATCGTCCTTTCCTAGAATGGTATTACCTGTGGAGCTTTTCCCAGATCCGCTTCTTCCAATCAATACAATCCGCTTAGTCTGTCTGTCACCTTCACTGTAGGACACTTATGAAAAAAAGACATATTCAGTTTAAATATTTAAAGGTATAGTCACACCGAAAAAGTTTAAAACGTTTAGTTTCATTTTTTGGCAGTGGTACGTTGATTCTGTTATTCATTTAATTCATGTTAACAACAAAACGTTAAGATGTATGTAACCCTGGTTTTATGCTTTGTACCCAAATACCATAGTTTCTATTGATTATCTAATGAGCAAGTCAGATTAGTATAATACATTGGGCCTCACCCATTAATTAGCATTATTACGAGTATAGAAAAAAGATTCATTTACATGATGGACCATGATTACTTCTATGTCCTCTTTCAAATAAGATAATTACAAAATTGACCCAAAAAACCAATTTTGTTATTGAAAACTGAAATAATATGCCACGGAAATTAGCTTCATGATTGAGATCAAGGGTCAACATCTACGTCATAATGACCTATGTTTGGTACACGACACTACTCCATTATAAGGTGTATATGTATGCAAATAATGGTCGCAGTGAATAAACAGGTGTAAGAGTTTTTCTTCAGACTTAGTTATAAAAATGGAAAGAAGGAGGATTGGAGACATAATACAGAATACGGGAGGACGAAGAGGAAACCACTAGTTTTGTATCTTGACAGTAAAATTGATATAGCATATTTATGAATTTGTTCATTAAAGGAATGATAAATCTTCCTGACAACATCATTGGAGATACTTACTCTCAGAACAGCCGAGCTTTAGACCATCTCTCTTTCCTGGACGTGCTCCATCAGGATCTTGCATGCCTTCGCTTTTGAACGGTTTTTACTCCAAATAGTTCAAATGTTTTAAATGCTATATTTCATATCTGAAACAAAAGTTATAGTCAATCAATTAAAACTGACAACTCTAGATTATTCGGGAGCACGCTTTTTGACATAGTAGACTATTTAGTCCCTTTATGCTGCAATATCTTTGACAGAAAATTAATGCTTGTCACGTATTATTTGTAAACATGAAACTTTTTTTTTTCCGTAAATGTCGTTCCACTGCGTTCGTAAATGTAATATAAGACAGCAGTGTATTTTAGGGGTTATAATCACACCACTCAGTATATTATATTCAATGACACTATAGCATCAAGTTCTGTTACACCTTCTGCAATTTGTTTTGTAAAGAAACCAAACTTAGGGAGATTTCTTCCATTTGTTTTAAAGTATTGATGAACTCAACAAAAAAAGACTAAAAAAAAAAA